GGGGGGGGGGGTAGATAAGTGGGAATTGAAGTACAAACAAGGTTTTCTCCTTGCTCAGAGGAGGGCAAGCTGCTCTGCCTGGGAAATCAGGGGAGGCTTTCTGCAGAAAATGGTGTTTGAAGCAAATATGAGTAGAATTTACTAGGTGTAGATGGCTTGCTAAGAAGGGTGTTTCGGGCCATGAGGGCTGCAAGAACAAAGGTAGTTTAGGCAAAAGGGAAGAGTGTGTTCAGGAAAGAGATGGTGGCCCAATCCTGCTAGAGACTAGAGTGTGTGTGGAAGGTCACTTTTTCCTTCTATCTCCTGCAGTAACCACACAAGCTCCAAGGACAGAGGCCCCTCCAGAGCACCACTCCTCCCCCACCACCCCAATCACCCACCACCCTCCAGTTTCCAGATCATCTCCAGTGGTAGCTGCCAAGTCCACAACTTTCCTGCCATCCACCACGGGCCCAAAGTCCTCGACACCGGAGGGGCTGCTCAGGCCCCAGACAGCCAGCTACAATCACCACACCAGGCTTCACAGGCAGAGGTAAGAGGCCTCCACCATCAAGGATAGACTATAAACCAGGCAAAACAGTCTAGAGTGAGGAGATCTACTGAAATCTTCCTGAAATGTTCACCAACCAAACCCTTCTTGGCTTTGTCTCTAGAAGGCCACTATGAAATAGACTACCTATGAGTTTAACACATTAACACATTGGTGCCCTTAACATGAATACACTTGTCAACGCTCCCGCAGGAGATCCTGTAGAAGCCAGACCCCAAACTTTCAATCACTCAGCATTCATTCAGATCTGTTTTAATGGGGAAAAACCAAATGAGAATAAAATTACCTGCTAAACTATTAAGTATTATAATTACTTTCACTTTTACAATATAGCTATTAGGAAACTTAAAATTACATATATGACTCAGGTTATATTTCTATTGGACAGCAATGGTCTAAAGGCTGGATGCTCCAGGAAAGTGCTGCAATAGACCACTAGGGGGCAGCATTACAGCAGCAGCCAAAGAAAAGCTAAAATAATTGGAATTATTTTTACCTAGGCAAAGATAAACATGTTAGTGAGGAAAGGGACCTTCATTTGGGTTTTATAGATGAGAAAACTGAGACCATGAGAGCTAAGTGGTCTCAAATGGAACTAGGATTCCTGATTATTAGTTCAGAAAATTACAACAGCCCACTAGTGAAGAGTCCAAGGGCATTCAATCAACATGTCCTTACTATGTGTCAAGCATTGTGCTATATCCTAAAGATGTAGGGAAATGAAGACCTGCGATGTATAGGTCTTATCTTGCTCATGAAAGTCTGACTGTGATGAGGGTTGTAAATGCTATGAACCCAAGAATTGGGGGCAGGAAAGAAAGAATTGGTTCTAGTTTACCATGATTAGGGGAGAGGTCTTATGCACTGGCCCGGTGCAGGAAGTAAGGTTTCACCAAGTGGAGAAAATGCAGGGAAGGCCTTCTAGGCGGAAGGAGCATCATGAGAAAAGCATCTTTTCCACCGATAAAAGAAACTAACTCACGTAATAGTTGCAATAGTCTTGTGAGGAAAGCGAGGTGCAGAAAGCTAGGAGGGGCTCTGACACTTGTCCACTGCTGCTTAGACCAGGTGCATTAACTTTCCACCCGCTCTTCGGCTCAGCCTTAAACAGTTCCGTGAAATAGGTTTTACTAGACCCATCTACAGGGAAATGAGGCTCAGAAAAGTTAGGAGACTGGTTCAAGATCGCACAGCCCGTAAAAAGCTGAATCTAAACTTGAACCCAGGAGTCTTGACTCCAGAAACAGGGCTCTTTGCTGGGAGGGGCGAAAATTCGGTTCGCAAAGGGACACACGGAGCTGTCTCCAAAAAGTCTCCGTTCAAGAGTCGATGAAACCTCCCTCCCCAGCTGGGCTCTTCCTCCCCTCCCTCCTCTCCTTCCCCCTCAGGGCGTTCAACCACGGCCCAGCGTCCCCAGTGGAAGTCCAAGGGTTTCACATCCTGATGCCCACCGTCCTGGGCCTCATCCTGCTGATGTTTCTGGGGCTGCTGGCGAAAAGGGTCATTCAAAGGAGGAAAGGTGAGCGGTCCCAGCTCGGTCAGGGGGAACTGAGCGGCCCAACGAGCCCGGAGCATCCAGACCCCGCGGATGCCGGGGGCGGGCACGGACGCGGGACTCTGGAGCTTTAGTCGAGCGGCCTGGGCTCTGGGGAGCGAGGGGTGGGGGTGGATGGCCTGGAAACGGGACGAGGGGAGAGCTGCCCGGCCCCGGGCCGCGGGGAGGGCGCGGCTGCGGCGCGCGCTGAGCGGGTCTCCCCCCCTCCCCCTTCC